TCCTTCCTTCCCTCCTTCCCCCCATGTCAGTTATTCCGCTCGCTCACCGCAGGACATTTGCACATCTGTGTGTCCGTCTGGCCGGGGGGTGAATCTGGCAGCTGCGTCCGTCCGTCCGTCCGTCCGTCTGTCCGTCTGTGCGTCCGTCTGGGTGGGGCGTCCGTCCGGGGCGGGGTCTCCTCGGCCTCTTCCCCTTTTTCGTTTCTCCTAAAATCCCGGGGTGCTTTTTTTTGTGTTTTCTCCCTCTTCTTCTTCCTCATTTGGCGATGGGGAAACTGAGGCCGGGGGTGGGGGGAGGGGGGGAGGGATGTCCCCCGCTCCCCCCCGGAAGGTTCTGGAAGGCTGGGGCGTCGTGGGGGTGCTGGGCGCACAGTCCTCCTCGAGGGTGCTGGGTGCTGAGTCCTCTCCCCGGGATCCCTTCCACACAGGTGACCGATGGGTCTCTGACCTTCGACCTTTGCCCCCTCCCCACACACACAGGGCTGGGCTGTGACCCCCGCCCCCTCCCTCAGGCCTGTGTGTGGCGGAGTTTCCCGGACGGACGGACGGACGGATGGATGGGTGGACGGAGTGAGGGACAGACAGACAGAGGCATGAGAGACAGAGGGACAGACGGACGGGCGGAAATTCAGGTGGACGGACGGGGAGACGGACAGACAGACACAGACAGACAGACACAGACAGACAGACAGACACAGACAGACACAGACAGACAGACACAGACAGACAGACACAGACAGACACAGACAGACAGGCAGACACAGACAGACACACAGATAGACAGACACAGACAGACAGACACGGACAGACAGACAGACACAGACACAGACAGAAACAGACAGACAGACAGACAGACACAGACAGACAGACAGACAGACACAGACAGACAGACACAGACAGACAGACAGACACAGACAGACAGACAGACAGACACAGACAGACACAGACAGACAGACAGACACAGACAGACAGACACAGACACACAGACACAGACAGAAACAGACAGACAGACACAGACACACAGAGGGACAGACAGACAGATGGACAGAGGGACAGCGGGGGGCCGGTGTCTGTGACTTGATCGCCTGTGATGTTACTCTGGCGACCTCTGACCTGCGCTGCCACCTGCTGGCTGAGCCCCGAAACTGCGTCCGTCCGTCCGTCCGTCTTTCTCAGGGTCCATGTCTGTCTGTCTGTCTGTCTGTCTCTGCGTCCGTCCCTCCGTCCGTCTGTCCGTCTCTCTTTCTCCATGTCTGTCTGTCCGTGTCAGTCCACCCGTCTGTCTGTCTGTCTTTCTCCCTGTCTGTCTGTCCGTTTATCTGACTGTCTGTCTGTCCCTCCGTCCATCTGTCTGTCCGTCTCTCTCTTTCTTCATGTCTGTCTGTCTGTCTCTGTCTGTCTGTCCACCTGTCTGTCTGTCTGTCCCTCTGTGTGTCTGTCTCTGTTTCTGTCTGTCCGTCCGTCTTTCTCCCTGTCTGTCTATCTGTCTGTCTGTCCATCCATCTGTCTGTCTGTCTGTCTGTCTCTCTGTCTGTCTGTCTGTCTGTCTGTCTGTCTGTCTCTCTGTCCATCTGTCTGTCCATCGGTCTCTCCTTGTGTCTGTCTGTCTGTCCCTCCGCCTGGTCTCTGTCTGTCTGTGTCTGTCTGTCTGTCCATCCATGTGTCCACCTCTCTCTCTGTCTGTCCCTCTGTCTGTCTGTCTGTTGGTCTTTGTCTGTCTCTGTGTCTGTCTGTCCATCCGTCTTTCTCCCTGTCTGTCTGTCCATTTGTCTGTCCGTTTGTCTGTCTGTCTGTCTCTCCCTGTATCTGTTTGTCCCTCTGTCTCTCTGTCTGTCTGTCCATCCATCTGTTTGTCTGTCCCCCTGTCTCATCTCTCTGTCTCTCTGTCCATCCGTCTGTCTGTGTCTCTGTGTCTGTCAGTCCATCTGACTGTCTGTCTGTCTCTGTCTTTCTCCCTGTCTGTCCATTTGTCTGTCTGTCTGTCTGTCTAGGTCTCTGAATCTGTCTGAATGTTTCTGTCTCTTGGTATCTGTCTGTCTGTCCATCCATCTGTCCCTCTGTCTGTCTGTCTGTCCGTCCATCTGTCTGTCCGTCTCTCTTTCTTCATGTCTGTCTGTCTGTTCGTGTCTGTCTGTCCACCTGCCTGTCTGTCCATCCCTCTGTCCCTCTGTCTGTCTGTCTCTCCGTCCATCCATCTGTCTGTCTCTCTCCCTGTCTGTCTGTCCATTTATCTGTCCATCTGTCTGTCCATCGGTCTCTCCTTCTGTCTGTCTGTCTGTCCCTCTGTGTCTGTCTGTCCATCCCTCTGTCTTTCTGTTTATCTGTCCGTTTCTCTGTCTGTCTCTCTGTCCATCCATCTGTCTGTCTCTCTGTCTCTGGGTCTGTCTGTCTGCCTGTCCGTCTATGGTCAGTCTATCTCTCTGTCCACCTGGCTGTCTATCTGCTTCTCATGTCCGTCCGTCTGTCTGTCCTGTCTTGGTCATCCGTCCATACCCCTGGTCTGTCTGTCTGTCTAAAGGTCTGTCTGTGTCAGGGCTCTGGGCCATGCCTATGTCCATCTGTCAGTGTGTGTGTGTGTCTGTCTGTCTCTGTCCGTCTGTCTCTCCCTGTGTCTCTCTGTCTGTCTTGGTTTCAGAGTCTGTCGTCTGTCCATCCATCTGTCCCTCTGTCTCTCTGTCTCTCTGTGTCTGTCCGTCTCTATGTCTACATCTGTCTGTGTGTCTCTTCTGTCTGTCTGTCTGTCCCTGTCTCTGTCTGTCTGTCCCTGTGTCCGTCTGTCTCTCCCTGTGTCTCTCTGTCTGTCTTGGTTTCAGAGTCTGTCGTCTGTCCATCCATCTGTCCCTCTGTCTCTCTGTCTCTCTGTGTCTGTCCGTTCATCCATCTGTCTGTCTCTGAGTCTGTCTGTCTGTCTGTGTCTGTTTGTCTGTCTGTAACTATGAATGTCCCTCTATCTGTCTGTCTGTCACCCTGCAGTCCCTCGGTCTGTCTCTCTGTCCATGTGTCTGTCTGTGTTTCTCCCTCTCTGTCTGTCTGTCTGCCTCTCCGCGTCTGTCTGTCCGTCCGGGCCAGGCCCGCGTCACGCGGCGGGGCCCTTCCCTCCAACCCCTCCCTCCCTCCGCGGCCTCCTCCTTATCGGCCGCCCGGCATCTCCGACTCGGTTTCCTGCGTGTGTGTTTCCCCTCCCCTCCCCCGCTTCCTCCTCCCCTGCAGGACAGCCAGACACACGGACGGACAGACAGACGGACGGACGGACGGCGGCCTGGGCCCCGACCCAGCCCCGCCAACCCCGTCCCCCCATCCATCCATCCATCCATCCATCCATCCATCCATCCATCCATCCATCCACCCACCCATCCATCCATCCATCCATCCAT